CTGCAAATTACATAATTCTCTGGTTACAAGTAAACTAAATCTAGTTGCTTATATAATTTTCATAATATCATCAATAAATCAAGATAGCAATAAAGGGTACTCACCTGTAGTAAAACTTGTATAATTATTGATTATTACAAGTACCCTCCTAATTCCAGCGAACTTACCCTATTATCTTTGAATATACATGAACTAATAACACCATCTACCTAACATTAGATAGCACAGTGAACATTTTGTGCTGAACATCTGAAGTGAAGGTAAACCTTCCCTACATATTTTGATGACAGCAACTATCATAGATGTATATACTCAGAACTAAGACTTTCACACTTGAAAAAACAAAAGTCCAGGCCTAAAGCAAAGAATATCTAATATACAACATTACATGGATCCATATTCCAATGACTCCCAACTGAATGGCTGGAATACGAAATAGACTTTGGGTGAGCTTTTGAAGAGCAAAGCCACGCAGACACACACAGCTGCAATGGCAACCATTGACAGCATTGCTGGCCTATAAACCAGTGCACTTCTCATACCACCGTACGCCAACTTGTGCTGGCATACCCCACAATGTCGCACCATTGCTGTTGTTTCAATCTTCTCAGTTTGCAAACTTGAAACTTTTGATGACCTATGGCCATCTGATTGCTTCTGCCTTATGTTACTATCTACAAGAGTGCCAGGGATATTAAGCACATGTTCACTTTTGCATGTGTTGCTTATTTTCGTCTGGACAAGTTGAATGTAGGAGTAGTAGCCCCGCAGGGATGCATGATCATAAGGGGTCAAACCTGTAGTGTCCTGAGCACTTTTCCATGCCTCAATTCCCACCTGAACATGTAAAACAAAGGAGTGAAATAGTTTTTACCACACCCTGCCACATGTAATTCAATTAAGAAGAGACAGTTAAACTGAATCCAGGACAGGAGCTTGCTCAACAAGAAGGTGAAAAGTGGGGAACAAGAAGAGTGCTTTTAAGTATTATCATAATATAGTGGCGATTGAAGAGCTTGGAGGATATATGTGCATATCACATCTTAATCTCCAGAAAGGCATTTTGACAGCTCAAAAAAATGGCTCATGACACTTCCAAGAATTTTTTTTTTAATTCATTTCAATAAATTTCATAGTGAAACTTACAAAAATAAACTCACGTGATATACTCATTTAAAAAGTGCTTTTGTTTACCCAAATGTTCCATAACACATCTCCCATATGTTGCATTGGAGACCCACTAATTAATACTATGGCCAAATAGTATATATGAATGAGGCTGATCCTCATGAGGGTCATCCTAGAGGTAGTTGGACCTATTAGACCACTCCGTATCAGATTATTATCAGAACATCCACAAATGTCTAGTTAAACACAACTTAGGAGCAATATATCCAGTGTTTGGTATATAAGAATTGTTAGAGATCTCACATTCACAAGTGATATGGTTAAAATAGTGTATATAAATGAGGGGCAGTCCTTACCCTATGAGCTAACTTTTGGAGTTGTCTTAAGAAGATCCAAACCCAAATTCTAAAACCTGGAGTTTGTAAAGGTTAAAAAAGTAAATGAAGATGTATGATGCATACAGAAGAGAAAGGAATTACCAGTCCTGGATCATCAGTTAATGCATCCAATACATTATCCGAACCATGCATACTTGCTGCAACATGAAGGGGAGTCAATCCAGAAGGCCCAACAGAATCAGGTCTGAATATGAATCTATTAGGGGACTTGTTGACTTGCTTCTCTTTACTGTCTCCACCATCTGAAGTATTAGCTGGCACAAATTTTAGCAGTAGTTCCACCATAGGCCTGCAATTTCTTTTTACAGCTTTGTGCAGAAGATCCATCTTTAACAATGATAACTCAACTGATGTATGCTCTCCTATATCCACAGTGCCTTCAAAGATAATGTTCAAGAGCTTTTTCATCACAGCACACCAGTCATGGTCCATAGAGAAGCCAACAAGCCACATGAACCGATTAAAATGGAAGCAATCTTGTAGAGGTGCCACAGGACCCAGCCTAACTTTCGCACGGTTTCTGTGAAGGAGCCAACCCATTTCTTGTACGAAATACAATGCTTGGGTCTTTTCTTCCATTAGTTTAGTTTTCATTTGGATGTCATCAGCAGTCTCGGCTGCCTCAATGACATTCTCCAGCTTACATATCTCTGAACAAATTTCTTGCTCTGCAACTATGAATGGAAAGGAACAGCTGCTAAGACCATTATCTTCCACCTGAGTAAAGATTATCATATCAGATATAAAAAATATAGCTTTAAAAACAAGAGAAAGCAAAATCATATTTATGCAGAATATCTTTTATCTGAATCTAACACTTGACAATTGTCTGCTTGAATAGCTGAAACTAACTATCTATCCGCATTTTTGCATGGACGGGTTACTTGGCTCCATTCAGCCATTTCATAAACCATCTGAAAATTTGTTGGTTTCAGGAATAAAGTATCACTTACATAACCAATTTTGCCAAGGGAATAGCCACATAATTGCATATTAAATCAATGTCTCAAGACAGGAAAAAGGGGAATGGGAGATGTCAAACCTAGGACTCACTCTCATTTATTGAATGGTTTTCAATAGTTCATAAGAACCTAAAACTATGAAGGACCTGCAAAGTATATTAAAGTTGAAGTCACCAAATGGCAGGCATCATCTAATTCTAAGCTGAAAAAGTTCACATTGAAAAAACCAAAAATTACTTCATAAACTTTGCTGAAGAGAAGGCCAGTGCAAACAGAATACTTTTTCCAAACACAAAAAATTGTAAGTATGAGTACACCACCTCAATAAACCCTCTTCCAGTCAAATTCGGTATACTACAAGAGAAACTCAGATGCTGAAGCTCATTATGTCCAATGGCAGCATCAGCATCAACCGAATCATAACAACTATCTTGCACCAGATACTTCCCTTCAAGTGCACAGAGCAACCTGAAATCAAGAGGAATGGATTAGCTTCAGCTCCAATTGCAGCAAACAAAATCCAGACCGCATGTCACCACAATCTATTTATATTGGATTCCGTAACTATCAAAAAGCAATCATTAACAAGATGTTACATAGAAAAATAAACATGTCAAATAAATTGTGGAATAAAATCATACATTATTCAAATACGAAACGGCATGTCAGTACTATTATATTATAAAAATTAATTAGGGGAAATGATTAAAAAAAATCATTTCAATTAAAGACATGATTTTACCTATCAACAATAATTAACTATGCCAAAAAGATGAAAATGTTTATTTGATATTTAGATAAGATATAATTAATCTAATCCAATACATACATCTTTTATACTGTAAATTTGGAGCATAATTTAAAAGCATTAAGTACAAACTCGCAAATACTTTAAATTACTTAAAAAATAAGTATTAAACCTTTTTTAGACAAAAATATTTTATTTTAACGAAATATATTTATTCACTTAACTACATTAAGTATAAAGATAAAAAATGTAACTAAACATTGGATACGGAGAAAGTGAGTCACTTGAATTTTATTTATAACAAGTTTAAAGATCATATTATAAATACAATTCAAAATCTTATATTTTAGTTATTTTTAATTTAATTGGACCTACAACGCACAAGTGGTATACTAGTAAGGAAAACCTATACCCTACACATTTAAGTAGTGTATATCTCATCCATTTTTCAAACAAGTTCAGGGCCTGGAAAAGTATTGCATAG